TGAAAATAAGACTGACGTTGAGTCACTTGAGCGACTAATCAGCTGAGCTGTTACATATACATCCAGCAGATTCTCAGACCAGTTTAATCGATCGCAGATGGCCTGAGTGTTTGTCAGTTTGCGATGCTGAACATACGTTAGTTGTGTGACTCTTTCAGAAAACCTGACCTCTGACCTTGAGGTTACCTGTAGAGGCACCTGCAGTTTTAATTTGAATTTAATTCATAAACACCGCCTGATGCCTGCCCGGCGCTTCAGCCTGATGGAGAAAAAGAATGAACGGCTGAAATGGTTGAAGGATTATTTTGAACAGTGAATCATGCAAAGCTACTTTGCAAATAAAAATATGGAGCTAGAATGAGGAGAAGAGGCTCCATCATGCTTAGAAAGGTTCCTGCTCTGCACTACGAGCTAAAAAAACTGAGTTGTAACCTCAACAATCGGTCCCTGCAGCGAGAAATTCTTACAGTCTGGACTGAAAGGCGCTTTTCTAACAGCCACAAAAGGACAGGTCAGGGCCGGAGAGGCCAGGATGTGTGTGACACACGGGGCAGGATGAGGCAGGAAGGGCCAGAAAATAACAGGAAATAAAAGCACCAAACACAGAAAACAAAAAAATTGAGGAGAGAGCAAAGTGTGAAACATCACAACTGCTGAAAACAAACATGAAGGAGCAGCAGTGTTAGAGAGCGGGCTGAGGTTCACGGAGGCCACGGCCGGGGTTTGTTTTTAATGAGGCCGGGTTAGCAGATGGTAGACGTGGGCACCGACCCAGACGGAGCGAGGAGCGCCGGGCCGGAGGGGCCTGCAGGGATGCTGGCACCGGCGTCCGGCAACCTTCTCAGCATTAAAATTGCTGCAGTTCAACTGAAAGTCAGCGACTGTTTGCACCACACCTAGTGCTCCACATAATAACTTAACCGGGTCAGGTTCTCTTGTTTTTCTCCTCTTTAAAAAATAAAAATCTCCCTGCAAGTTTAACATCACAGAAACACCTCAGCACCAGCAGGTGAGACACGGCGAGTCAAAGGAACGGGAACGTCGAGAGTCTCGCTGTGTGAGGCGGAGAGAGCGGCTACCGATGGCCCGGGGAGGGAAGAAAAGGATGCAAACAGGTATTTTCTGAGTTGAATCAGGCAGGAAACACTTCCCACCTGCAAACAACCAAACAAGCAGCTCTTAACGAGGTCCGGGCGAGCCGGTGATGGAGGATCAGGGCGGGCGGCGGCGGCGGGGTTTGGTTTGAGGAAACAGAGAGGAGGGAAAACCGGACGGGAAACACGCTGGCAGAAGTTTGTTTTTCTGAAGAATGGAGGAAAATAAACAACTCGAGGCTCGACAGACTCGAAGGACTCTCCGCTGACAAACGCTCAATCCACCGAAGATTAAAAATGTGAAGTTGACATTCGTCTGAGCTTTGAGCCCTGAAATGGGATCGCCGGGTCATCAGTCAAAACGCAGAGGCGCTCAGCAGAGAGTCAGGAAGTTTATGACACACAACTTCCTGCTTTATCTGTGCAAAAACTTTCATTTAACACAGAACATCTGCTGAACTCAAGCAAACTGAGGCAGACAGCTTCCCGTTTACCCTCCACT